GTCTGACATAAAGCTAGAAAGGAGGTGTGATTTGTTCTAAATGGTGGGGGTGGGGGATGTAATTTAACAGGGAACTTAACTGTGCAGTGGGGCCAATTGTGTTTAAAGTATATATAAACTGATAGAAATTTATAGAAGCATAGATAAGCCCTTACATGGCTTATGCATTGAGTATATTGAAAGTAATTATTACATGGACACCTGGGTGGCTAAGTCGGTTAAGCATCCGACTCTTGATTTTGGCTCGGGTTCATGATCTCAGAGTAGTGAGATCGAGCTCCGCATCAGGATCCATGTTCAGCAGGGAGTCTGCTTGAGATTTTCTCTCTCCCTCTCCCTCTGCACACCACAGCTCCTACCCGCGCCATGCTCGAGCATGCGCACACATGGGCGCGTGCTTTCTCTCCAAATAAAATCTTTTTTTTTTAAGATTTTATTTATTTATTTGACAGAGAGAGACACAGCGAGAGAGGGAACACAAGCAGGGGGGTGAGGGAGGGAGAAGCAGACTTCCCGCCGAGCGGGGAGCCTGATGCAGGGCTCGATCCCAGGACCCCTGGATCACGATCCGAGCAGAAGGCAGACACCTAACGACTGAGGCACCCAGACGCCCCTCTAAATAAAATCTTTTTTAAAAAGGTAATTATTACAACTATTGATTTTATTCCACGAAATTTATATTTCTATTAAAATGATTTTCTATGAAATGATAAAATAATTTTTTAATTTATGTGTTTTGCATATATTCGTAAATTCCTTTGTTTGCCTAATCCTCTATGTAGTGGTTCTCAAAGTATGGCCCTCGGCCCACTGCAGGGCCAACAAATCTTCCTAATGGGTTGCCCTTGACAATCCTAAAACTTTTTCTTAAGTGCCTGAATGAGATCAACTCATTAATAACATCTATATATGTTTTGCTACATTTGGTATTTTTAAACTAAAATTAGTGCTTTTTAGACTTTGGAGAATTTAGGCCGGGCTCCAATTCAGTATTTTACTAACATTGCAAGGCTCCAGTTGCATGTGTGCATATGCAAGTAGTTGGATTCCTACAATTTGGGGGAAGGATACATATTAATTACCAGTACTGCCTTGAATAATCATGTTTTTTAATTGCTGCTCTTCTGCTTCTTAACAGCAAATTATTGTTAGTTTTGTTCATCATTATCAATTTAGTTTGTTGTGAGTTGTTTTTAACCCCATAGCATATAGTAATGAATATTTATGAATTTTTAGGCTATAATTTTCCAAAATTACTCTGGTATGTATGCACTGTGTTCAAGTATGAATCATCCATTCCCTTATTACTAAAGCAGATGTATACATATTTCCCCCATAATTTGCTAATATGAGAACATTTCATCAGTAATGTGTGCAGTGCATGGAATTTTAGCATGCAAATTACAATATAACATGAAAGTAAATCTAATAAAAGTATTGGATTATTTTACATTTACATGTTATTGTCTTAAAAAGCAAACATGGGTAATGGTTTAATCTTACTACATAAAAAGTAAGCACTGCATATATATGTGTATATATATATATATATATATTTTTTTTTTGGCCATATTTTGATTATCTGGAGCAAGACAAAGTTGTGAATCATTATTCAAGGTCAGTAGTCTCCAAACTGTTTTACCAGATGTTAATAGGTGTTCTGCAAACAATGGATTCTTTACTCACATAAATTGGGAGGAAATGATATGTATTATGTTTCCTTTTTCCAGATTTGCAAGGCCCTTTAGCATACTGCGATGGTTAATTTTATGTGTCAACTGGGATAGGCCATGATGCCTAGATATTTGGTCAAACACTGGCCTGGATGTTGCTGTGAAGGTATTTTGTAGATGAGATTAACAGTTAAATCAGTGGACTTTGAATAAAGCTCATTGTTCTCCCTAATGTGGGTGGGTCTAATTCACTAAGTTGAAGACCTTAAGAGAAAAAATAGTGACCTCCAAAGAAGAGGGAATTCTGCCAGCATTTGGTTTTGGACTCAAGCTGCAGCATCAACCCTTCTCTGAGTCTGCAGCCTACTGGCCTGCTCTGAAGATTGCCAACTTCTACAGGTACATGAGCCAATTCCTTAAAATAAATATCTTTATAGATAGATACATACCCTAATATGATAGATTTATACACATCTGTATATTCTCATATATAAACATATAGTGTACACACATACATCCTATTGGTTCTGTTTCTCAAGAGGACATACCACACATGTTAAAGGCTCTAGAAAGTTCTACAATTAAAAAAAAAAATCCCTGTTTAAACCAGTGTTTTCCCAGGTTATTTAACCACAAAACCTTTTTCATATAATACCTACAACTATCACAAATATGGCTTGGGCAATGTTTTTCTCAAGACTTGACCTTAGAGCTGATCTGTAGCCTCTGTCAGCAGCATCCAGCTCTAAACCTGTTCAACTCAGAAAGTGATACCGTAGCTATTGGGACAAAAGTCTCCACCCGTCCTGTCCTTCCGCACAGGGCGCTGGCGGAGCGAAACGGCCATGTTTTGTGGGCACAGCAAGGTGAAATGGTCACTGTGGGGTCAGTTCCACATACAGCGGTGTCTGACGAAAATAACTCCTGGTAGAATAGACCCCGTAGGTGGGCTTTTGTGAAATGCTCTTTTATGGATATTTCTGGGGACTGGCGAGTCGTCCTGAAATACCATCAATTACAGTGCGACGTGGCATAAGGCAACACATGAATGGCAGGGAGCCTGACCAGAAAAGCCAGTTCTGCCTCTATAAAAGGCATCATGCCTCCTCTGTCTTATTATCCCTTCTCACATGTGTTTTCACAAATGGTCCTCACTGACCCCAATTTATCCTCAGAGCTTATTCTAGAAGCCATTGCCCTTTCTGACTAATCTCTTCCCCAGAACCCACCAGATCAGCCTGCCCTCTTCCCTGTCACGTGCGTTCAAACACCGTGGACCCCTGCACTGGACGTAAACTGTACTTACTAGTGCCTATCTTCCCTCCAGGACTGTGAAGTTCAAGAGGACAACGGCCCTTTCCATCTCGTTCGTCTGGGCAGCTCTAGGGTCTGGCGAGCAGCTGGAATGCCCCGAGAAGGAACGAGTGCCCCGACAAGAGCTTCCTCCCCTCTCGTTTTCCAAGGGAGTCCATATCAATTTTCCTTTCTTGGTAGCCCGATTGGTGTACTTTTCTCTACTTTGATCTATCCCTAAAGATCTTCACTCTTTCAACCTTTAAAAAACCTCTGTGCCAAGAGCCCGTGACATGTTCACATGTATGTGTATGCACACACACACAGTGCACACGCATGCACATCTCCACCTTTGCTTACTCTTGCAAATGAGAATAAATACATTCACTTATCAAGCAAAATAGGGTGAAGAGATGGGGAATGCAAGTAACAGGAGGAGCAAAGAGAGACTGAATCCAATTACGGCTCTATCATTTTCTGGGTCAAGTAGAATTGTGCAGAAGTTTTCAAACCTATAAAAAGAAAAGCAGAGGCTCAGTCAGGTCCCGGGATCAGTTCCTTTCCCCACAGCTGCCATTTCCCCAGCCTAGTGCTACACTATGTACACTGAACATGGGTTTCTCTTCAAGAGTCCTCGCTGGAAACAAAAGCATTGAGAAAACTCATGCATTGGCAGGTAAACAGGTTTTCGTTTCAGGAAATTTGGCCGAACATTTGGAGGGGACGCAGATGTAAGGACTGAGGGGGAGGGTGGCGCTCAGTGGATGCCGGGCCTGGCTCCAATCACTCCCTGTGCATCCTCTACCATCCCCTCCAGACCCTCGGTTACTTGGTTACTTGCAGGGAGGGGCCAGAATGGCAACGACCTTGGAGTTGACAACAGGTTCCCCCCCCTTCTTCCAACCCTACACCCAGAGGCAGAAAACTTGCACTAGCTATCCAAATAGAGCCTCATCTGAAAGAGGTTGCCAACATGGGCCTCCCCAGGCAAGGTACGCTTGCAGGGCTCTCCTGTGCCCCCCTGTCATTTACCCCAATTCCCACTAAGTCTACAGAGAAGTCTCTAGATAAGGCTATAGGTACAATCCAGTCCTGGGCATGGAGGAGCTAAGACCTGGAAAAGCTAAGGTCTTTAATAAATGCCTTAAATGCCTTTCTGCCCCTATTTAGAAAAGCTCAAGCATGCAGGAGGGATGTAAGGGAATCCCTAGCCGCCCCAACACACACACACACATGCCCACTCGCTCTGAGACCAGAGAAATCCATACAAGAAATTCTAAAATATGATAAATAGATTTCACATTTCCAAAGATCTGGACTCCCTAGTACAAAGTGTGCTTTTTGGTACAAGAAATGGGTATTGAATCACAGTAGTCTCATGCTTTTAAAACTATGGGGATTATTTTTTCATAATTGCCCAGAGAGAGCCAGGTCATGCTTATACTAGCATGCATGCATGATCAGATCATTGATAACCCCTTAAGAAGGATTAGGCCACTTGCTAAACTGAATTGAAATTCATTGATGTGATCCAGAGTTATTGAAAGACAGGATGCTTTTTATCAAAAAAGGCTCTCCCAAACACTCTCTGTCCCACTGATGAAAATATGCATTGAAGGATACCTTTCCGGATTCAGAGCCAAGAGGCAGATCACACTGCCTCTCACTACACGAGCGCCTATGTGAAGTTGTTCTACACATAGTATAATAAGATGGTCCACCTGGGGCCTGACACACACATGGCCATGTCTAAACAGGAGAAGGAGAAAGGTAGGGCCACCGGAAGTCATGAAAACCCAAGTTGCAACACCATCCTTGCTTTTACTCATTACACATGCGCTCTTCAGCTTCTTGGAGGAGCCACTTGAAGGTCACCTCCGCTGAAAATTCTTGGCTCGGGAGCTCCCTGTTGCTTTATTACCTAAGTCTATTAAAATTCTTAGAGTAGCTGATGATGAAAATTCCAGGCAATTTTTTTTTTCTTCATGGAGTGGGAAGAAAAAAAAAAACACAAAAAACCAACGCGTGAGTCTATTTGAAATCGTTTTATGAATTTTAATCATAGCAAATGTGTTTTAACAGTAGTCATAAAATCAACATTACCACATATACAAAGGACAAGACACCAGTTTGGCATACAAAAATACCATATATTAAAATTGGGTTCCTTGGAAAAACTCAGGACTTGCTAAGACACCATCTACACCAGAGAGAGCAAGCAAGAATGCTTTTAAGACATTCAGATTTATAAACAGCAGCTTGATATCCCCCTTACAAAGTCAATTATTTGGCAACATTTGAACAATATTTTCTACATGGCCCAGCAGCTCATTTATCTGTAGGGCTATTTGGCCCTTCAAAAGAAAAGCTCCTAAAATAAATAATCCACATAATTGTGAATGAAACATGTCAAGGACTTGAGTTAGCCTCTGAGCAGCATTAATCTAGCCATCTGACTGGAATATTAGTTATCAAGAGGGCCAGGGAACCCACCAGTGGAGCTGGAAGACCGGCAGGAATCCTCCAGAGCAGCCGCATGGCTTATGATGGGGAAGTCTGCACCCACCCCAAGCTGACACCAGCCTCCCCTCCTGCAACTGTCAAGTGAGGCAAACAGGAACACGTGGTGGAATAAAGAAAATATAATAAATGACAACAACCAGGATTGAAAAACAAAATATTCTTGAACGAGTCTTCCCAATAGTATCAACCTACTCAAGTCGGCATACATCCATAGGCACAGGCATTGCATTCCACTGCTAAGAGGGTGTTACTAGAGTTTGTCTGTAATGACTCAGCAACCAACTCTAAAGCAGGCTCTGAGATTGTCTAGCATGTGGACAACCCGGGGGGCCCTCCTTGGATCCTGTCATTGGCCGAGCCCACTCCCTATAGGTTTTCAACTTAAACATCTGGAATTTAATTGTGCTTGTCTTAAGTTATTCCTAGTCGTCCCTGTGTTTCTTTCTTCAGCTGGTTTCTGCCACGACTGACCTTCAGCTCCTATATACTTTGTTCTCGACCCATGTTCCCATTACAGATTTCTCTCCTTTTCTGCAAGTATTTTCTCACTGTCTTGAGCACATCTATCTATTGCTATAGACCTGAGGCCGCATCTTCACTGCTCCCACAGATCTGTCTCTCAGCCAGAAAAATCAGACCAGGAGTTTCCTGAACCACGGTGTATGATAGTAGCTACTCTGTCCTCCCATTTAAACAGATGACACCGATTGAGGTTGATCCTCGCTCCCCTTCCAGGGGACATCTTCCTCCTCTTTTTCCTCCTTACAGCCCATGCTCCTTTACCACCCTCACATTCAATCGTCTACTTCCAGATTCTCAAAAAGCAAATGTCAAATGAAAAATGGAACATCCCCCTTTGGAAAACTCTTGTTGGAATAACCCAATAACTCACAGGGAGAATACAGAAAACTTTCACACAGGCTACCAGCCCTACAGCCCGTAGTGATGAATTTAGAGCAGTGTTCTAGAACAGGGACTATAAGAGAGCACCCCAGAAAAACAAAGAAAATGCATGCCTTTTCAGACTTCAAGAGACTCCTCTGTACTTTGCCCCAAATATTACTGATTGTCCCTAAAAAGATCATTAATATGAATCGTATCAAAAATCTTAGACTAGAATAATAAAGTCCAGCTAACAAGATGAGTGTTTTCAAGCACCACCACATCATAAGTGAAATATACATAGTGGGATACCCCAGGCAGTGAATCCTAAAAAAAAAAAAAAAAAAAAAAAAAAAAAAAAATCCCTTGGCCCAACTGTGCAAGTAAACTTGTGCCGAAAAATTGGAGCCATGCTGCAAGAGTTTAGGAATAATGGTACTCCACCCATGATGCCTGAACAGAGCCAAAAAACAAGCCATTTGAAACACGGAAATTAAATGCCCCACCTGCTTATGTTCTTCGATCATCAATGGCTTTCCAATAAAATGTGTACAGTAGAACCCACCTCTTCATATGCTTGAAGTCTCAAGGGTTTATTCATCTAGACATTCCCAAAGGTGGTTGGTTTGATATAATGTATGCAGCCCATAGCATTTGTTAAGAAATTAATATCTAAATTCAACATTATATAACCCACAAATTGGAAAATGTGACTAACATTTTGTACTTGATTTTTTAACTCCTGTTACAGGTAAGTCATGTGTGTGTGTCTACATGTATGTCTACACCTGTATGTGCAGATACAGATATGTGTATCTATATATAGTGAATCATGTCAGAAAAAAAAAATCAATGGATTGAATTTCCACTTATTTTTTAGAAGTATTTCATGCTTAATAATATTTAACTGATCTTCATTGCTTTTGAGATAGACTACTACTTTCAACACAGTCACTGAGTTTTCTTGATTACTTCATTCTTCTTTGGAGCTTCTGTTTTGGTAAGGGTTATATTATAAGTGATATTTTCCTGGGAGTGATGAAAATGGCAAGGAACAGTCTCTCCTTCCAGGTCAAGGATGACAGATCAACTGACTGGTGACACAACTTGTATGGAAACAAAACACTGACTGATTGGCAGCATCATTCTTTTAGGAGAAGATAGAAATTCAAACCTTTTCGATATCACTCCTCTCATACCAATAACCTCTGGACCTCTAAATTCCTCTTAAGTCTAAAGAAAAACTACCATTTTGGAAAAAAAAAAAAACTAAATAATTTTAAAAGCTAAAAAGGTCACGCCCACTGACAAGTTCTAGGAAAAAAAATTCACCAGATTTTGCTAAATTGAGACAAACGCAATGTTTACCTAACATTCAGAAACAATGAAAAGCAGACTAGCCAATTTTGACACAGCACGGGATTTCAAATACAGCAATGGGAACTCTTCAAATCAAAATCTAGACCATAACAAATACCATACTACCAGGAGAGTCTCATCTTTCTATGAAAATATATCTCCAACTGAAGTTTCTGCTTTCCTTTACTCACTTAAAAAGCAATTTTAGTAACTTTAATAACCCTCCAGTCTTTAAATTCCATGGGCAATGTTTTTTAATGTAAAAAAAAATGCCTTTGTGCAAGGCTGCAAATTTGCGATTTGTTCAGCGTTAAGGGATAAAAGGAAAAACCAAATGACAGGTGTCAAATCTCACTCTAAAAACAGTCCCTATGTTGTAGTCTGGTATCTGAAAAAGGATGCCCACATATGCCCACACCCAACACGACGACGAGCCGGCAGACTTCAAGGGCAAACAAAAAACCCTCTATGAACACTGCAAAACATGATTTCTCTTACATTTCACACCTTACTCATGCAGTGATGAAGTCTGGGTAAGATGCTCAAAGTGAAGAGGAATTTCATTAGGGTTTTTTTTTTTTCTTTTTTTCTGTAACATTTGTTTTTGGCCATAAGACCCTAAACACAGTTTCATAGTACAGGTCATGCATAGCTTGCAAGTCAAAAGTTTTTACAGCTACTGTCTAACTACTATTTTTGGACAATAGATTCACATACAGCTAATGATCCCAGAAAAGGGGCTTCATAAAGCACTCTTTAAGCTTCACTGACCATTCTTGGGCCCAAAGTATGAAAGTAATAACCCCAAAGGGCAATCAATGAATTTTAATCATCATACTTGAGATCAAGCCCAGAAAGGATTTTTTTTAGCCAACTGCATGTTACTAAACCACAAACTGTCTTCTTAGCCTTACTCTGTTAACACTCTCATGTTAGATCCTACCGCGCAACCCTCCAGATTTACACGATCCAATATGGTAGCCACCAGCCAAAAGTGAGTGACTATGTTTAAATAACTTAAAATGAAATAAAATACAAAATCCAGTTCCTCAGTCGTACTAACCCCGCTTCAACTGCCCACTAGCCAGTGGCCACTATATTGGACCGCATAGGTCATAGAACATTTCCATCATTGGAGAAAGATCTATTGAACAGACTAGATCTCAAAGCCTGCACCAGCACATGGATTAACCTTCAAGGGACCTACTTTTAAGTCATGCTAGAGATTGAACTTAATTATGTTCTTAAAGAAAATACCTTTTAGCTTTCTAATCATTAAGTATGACTGAAACTGAGAACCCATTTACCTTTTCCTCACAACTTATGCCCCAGGTCATTATACAAAAATTTCCCAAAGACAATGCTTTTTGACAGCATACTCGGTTGGCTCTACTTAACATATTAACCATTCTCTCGCTTATGTCAAGATCGTTAATAAAGATGAAAATTCATGCTTCTTAAAGTTTACTATTTACACAACACTCATTGTCCTTTACATAAGGGCGGGGGGAACCAATGGTTTGCAATTTTAAAAATTCAAATCACATCATTTTTATTAAACGTCTATACTCATCCTTAAATCAACCCTCCTTTCATTTCCGAGAGGTAGATGCTAACTAAAATGGATATATATATATTTAAAAAAACAAAAACAAAAAACTAAAACACTATTGAGTTAGTAAAGGGAATTCATCTACCCTCCAAAAGACCATAGCCCAATAGAGATATCATCAGGCCTAGGAAGGAGCAAGAGAAACTGTAATGCAGTTCTTGCATCCCTTTTGCTGCAGAATTACAAGGGGCCACATACCTCTGTGGGGCTCCATGGTTGGTTGCTTTCAGCTCTGACTTTCTGTGCTTTCAGTTGTGATTTTTTTTTTCCACTGATGTGCAACTGTGAATTCCGGTTGATTGTGTCACTGGACTTTTGTCACACGGGGTAGATGAATTGCTAGTGTCGTGGGGAAATGCCAGAAAAGGCCAGCAGGATGGGATGCCAACTAACATGAAAACATCAAGTCTACAAAAATTCTATCTGCAGGCTGAGATAGGACGCACACAAACACACACACATGTGCACAACTGCACACTTTAACAAGCAATGCACAAATAACTGCAGGCAGAATCCATTTAAACAATATTTCTTAGGTCAGTAAGACGCACACACAAAATTCTGATTTTGGTGTTATTGTTACCTTAAACTGTAAAGTCAAGAGATTGTTTTTAAGTTACGTGGACATTTTTACTCTACGGCTTTGCACTAAGAAACACAGGGCGCCCTATCGCCACGCACATTAGTGTCTATGTGTAACCTACTTAACACGTAGAACTCCAGGACATACTGCACTACAGGGCCAGTCATTTTATACTGTACATAAACAGATGTAGATATCATTCACAAAATTAACTCAAATATGGCCTGGCTGAAAATTGCAAGGGTCAAGTCCATTTGAAATGTAGCATTCTTCACTTGATCTTAGCCAAAAGGCCGAGAAGCGATTGAAATGTAGCATTCTTAATGGAACATTATCTGTGGGGTTTTTCCTCTGAGAGGAATAGAAATTAGGTCAGACATGCATCACGGCAGCCTGGCAGAGTTTGAGAAATCAACACTAACCCAACAGTATATTATGTTACGTAATAGAGGACAGTATTCAGCTAATATGATACCTAAATTATTAATACCAAATAAATCCTAGATTATTTATTGTATAATGCCCAATAGCTTACACAATAAAACGGCATTTTAACCTAATTTCTACTTTTAGCTCTCAAATACACTTGCTTCATGAATTCCATAAAAGAAATTAGAAGAGAATTGTAAAGCTCACAGCTTTTTCTGAACACACACACATCCAGGCCCAGGAATTTACCACTTAACGCCAGCAGACCTTTCTTCACCAGCATCTGCACATTTAAGAGTATTTGAGAATTTATGATGAACTGATCCACTTAGATTGGGAACGTGAGTTCTTAGTTTATCTTGTCACTTTTCTCAATAAACATATTTTGAAATACAAGAGATTTTCTCACTTATACCCACAAGAAGAAACTGGAATCCTACAGTTTAACTTTCACGGAGCATCTTTCAAAAAGCAATCATGGACTATTAAAATGTCAGTCCAGGTTTGTCATCGATGGACAACACTCACATCTATTACAATACCTCCAAACTGGGAGAAAAGACAGAATCTTCTGTTACTTTCATTTGTGCCTCACAGAATACAGGACTTGAATACACAGAAGAGGAGCAAATGTTGGAAGTGACGAGTGTGCGACACTTCACTGGGCGGATCCCAGTGCCCAAGAGGTGGCCACCGAGTCAGACCCTGGACTCATTCAGGCCCACAGTCTTACTCCTGGGATTCTTCTGAAAAGATTCAAAACCTGAGGTAAATCAAATGACACACACACGCACGCGCGCGCACACACACATGCACACACACACAAGTACACAATATTTACATTTAAAATTCTTATTTTGTGAGATGGCTTGAGAAAAATTGGCATATAGGGTTCCTGTGGGATTAGGCATTTCTCATTATTACTCAGTTTATTGCTCCCCTGTTGGGCTTTCAGTTTAATAAACACGTAGCGAGCTCTAATTACAAGGGAAGAAAAATGAAGGTATGTAACAAAACACAACACACTGGAAACACTCGTTCAGACATTTTCTCCAAAAAAAAAAATGACCGTCCCCTTCACTTATTTTAATTTGGGTGCCATTCAAAAAGTATAAAAAGCCTCAGCAACTAAATGAAGACTGGATTTCCATTACAAAGGGGAAAGAAACCAGCACTGCACGTCGTCGCTGAAGTTTTACGTGGATTCTCAGGTTTAATTCTACTTGTATACATAAGCATCTCTGTTTTAATCTACCACATTTAGAGATCACATTGTATGCACTTGCACGGTTTAACATCTAAGTAGATTAGGTCTATCTCGTAACATGATTTGGACAAATCATAAATTACAGTCCATTTAATAAATGATTATGAGGATGCATGCAATCGTCCTGGAAGCTGTTGCCACCAACACTCAGAACGACTGGCCCGGTAGCTTGCTGAGACCTCACGTCTGCCCTTCGTGTCTGTCTCCGGTTAATCAAGTGGTAGCCCAGAGGCCATGGCTGGCACCAAATGATCAGCGTCGCCCCCCATCTTCTCGCTGCGATCCCATCACCAACACCTGCTCAACCCCGAGTTGGCACCCAAGAGAGACTTCCCTGCAGCCCTGTTCAGCCACAGGAGATCACAGTGAAGCGCTTAGAAATGCAAGACATGTTGTGCAGCACGATGCCCAGCAGGAAGACGAGAACGCAGGCCACCAGGATCACAGTGCACACCCCGGACCAGGTGGAGCTTTTCGCCACGCCCCGCCTGTCTGGCTCCTCCTCCCCCGCCTCCGGGGGCGCCCCGCCCTGCAGAGGTTGCTGCTCTGTGGGGACGGTCACCACGGTGACGGCCTTCTGCTGGCTCCCGGGCAGCAGGCGGCAGCTCATGTCTCCCGGCAGCAGCGCTCGCTCCTTGGAGATGGGCAGGGGCAGCATGTAGCACCCATTGCTGGGAAGTTTGATGAACACTGGGGTGTGCTCGGACGCGTGCGGGATGGCGATGACCGCAAGGACCTCGGGGTCGTCGGGGAGCTGCGACACAGAGAAGCCCGGGGGCAGCTTGGTGATGCCCCGGCACCAGGGGCACCTTACGTCCTTCTGGCTCGTCCTCATCTGCTGGAGGCACACCGAGCAGCATGTGTGTTTGCAATCCAGCAACTTGGGCCTTCGCCGGGGGCTGTAGTAGTTGAAACAGATCTGACATTCCAGCAAGGAATCTTGGGAGAGCGTCTCCATCGTGGCCGTGGCTGTGGCCAGGAAGCAGGAGGGCCAAGGCCAAGGGCAAGGAGCTTGTTCTCAGGGGCTGGCACTCCCACGCCTTCCTTCTTGTCTTTCCAAAGTCGTGAGGTGACCGGGGAGCTCAGGGACATAGAGCATACTCAAGTGTGTTCATTTCTGAAGAAGATAAAAAAAAAATGCAGAAAAGTTAATGATTTCAAACAAGCTGAGATGTCAGCACATCTGCCGGAATTCAAATGTCTTGGCACTGGGTCAAAAACGTAAAAATGTCCCACTCGAGAGAGATTACAGGAGTTCCTTGGGTAATGAATGCCCAGTGGAAGGTAAACGAGTTGTCTCAGGCGGCTTCTTACGGTAAATACTTTGCTCATTTCTAAAGGGAACACCTTCATGGGGGTACACAATGCCCCGTATTTCATAAAGAGGGAGTCTTGATTCTGTTTTGTGTATTTCGGTGGACCCTGGCTTGTTCTTCTAAAATACAAGGGAGAAATGCTCTTGCTTCCAATAAGAGCAAACTCTCCTAGAAGTAAATTTCTTTCCTTAGGCCCTCTGGTCTTCTTTTCCTAACTCTATTTACCCTCCTGTAAGTATTCATCGCCAGATTCAGGCGCAACTTCCCAAATCTAGGGACTCCATGTAACTAGTTCGCTCAATTCCTCTCTCATAGGAAATTAAAACAATGCTGCCAAAGAAGTGCACACAGGCATGTGTTGTTTTTTTTTTCCACCAAATCACTGAAACAAAGTAATTCTTGTCATTTGGTTTTAAAAGAGACAAAAACTCAAAACAACAGCAGCAACAAAGACGAGCGGCAGCAATGAACCTTCAGGCAGCAGGGTTTGCAAAGGCACACAAGGACCCCTAGTATTTTTCAGTCCGTTCTTTTAATTGCATTACTATTTAGGCTTGCACCAAGTAACGGGACTACAAGCAAATACTATTAACTCACCAGTCAGAATCAAGTATTGTCTAGCAAGAGACTGTCAGAGAAGACTGGCAAGCACTCCCCCACCAGGCAGCCCCCCACCATAAAACAAAGAGTGTCAGCCTCCTGGTGTAAAGGAAGCAAAGTAACTTAGTTCAACTTAACTGGGGTCTGAGGAACCCAGGGTTTCAGTGAAGGCTGCCCAACTCTGTTTCCTATTGAAAGCATCCAAATTACGGGTCTCTGGATGGAGTCACAATGACTCTGGAAAGAACTACCCAACCACTCTTGTAGAAATAATTGCCAGTCATTGAACCCCACCCACTCCCAGAGCCAGGGGATAATAACATGGAAAAGCTCCAGCACGTTTCTTAAAAAGCAAACCTCCTTTTTCTAACTTCCCTTGTGAAATTAAGAATGTACTCCTTGCCAATGATACGATTTGTTAAAAATCAAAATTAGAAATGCAGAAAAAGCATAAAGCAAAAAATAATCACTGGTAAAAATTAACAATGACAGGGGCACCTGGGTGGCTCAGTTGGTTGAGCGGCTGCCTTCAGCTCAGGTCATGATCCCAGGGACCTGGGATCGAGCCCCACATGGGGCTCCTTGCTCAGCAGGGAGCCTGCTTCTCCCTCTCCCTCTGCCTGCCTCCCTGCCTACTTGTGCTCTCTATCTCTGTCAAATAAATAAATAAAATCTTTTAAAAAAATGAATAAATATTAAAAAAATTAAAAAAATAAAAATTAACAATGACAGTCAAAAAGAGCAACATAATTGTAAAACATTTTAGCTGTAGTAAGAGCGCCTAGATTATATTACTGAAAGTCAAATACAGTAATACAGCATTCGGAAAGTTCATATCATAATCAACTACTTATCTAGCTACTAATTCAAGAAATTTTTATTGAATAATTGAAATTTGCTAAGGGTAGAACTCAACTGTTCTCACTGAAAAAAAAATATATATGAGGTGATGGACGTGTTAATCAGCTAGATTGGGGGGTCCTTTCACAATGCATATAGCAAATCACCACCATGCACACCTTAAATACCTTACAATTTTGTCAGTTATACCTCAGTAAAGCTGAAAAAAAGTAAAAATTCAAGATATCTGTGGAGCGTATCAGATACAAAGCACAATGCTAGCTACTACAGGGCATCAAGATGAATCAGATCCAAATCCTACTCTTAAGCAATTTCAGGTTAGGTAAGAAAGAAAACATGAATAGATTTCCTCTTCCATTCATTTATTCATTCAAATTATTATTGAACATCTGCCGTGCGTCAAGCTTTATGGTATTTGTTTTTGTCCCTTGTAACTAAGACCTTGTCACTGCCCACAAGAAACTCCCAGCCTAGCGGTAACCAGTTATGCATGTAAACAGTTGTAATACAAATACAGAGTGATACAAGCCATACAGGAGCCGGAGGAATCAGGGATGGCTCAATGAAAGATCTGGATTATGGAGAGGATTTAAACATGTCAAATCAGGGGGCAGTTTATTTTCAGGTTCAGAAATCATTGAGCAAAGGAAAGAGGGTGAGCAACTACAGCATTATTTCTAGACTCTACCTGTGGCACTAGCTAGAGGATTTTTTTCCTAATACAAGAGTAACTTAAAAATGCCCCCTCTAAGAGTTTTATAGTTTTAGCTTTGATGTTTAGGTCTTTGAAACAGATGCCTTTTTAATTTATTCTTTTTTTAAGATTTTCTTTTTCAGTAATCTCTACACCCACCCAAAGTGGGGCTCAAACTTACAACCCCAAGATCAAGAGTACAGGCTCCACCAATTGAGACAGCCACACACCCCCAGATGCCTTTTAAGGAAACAAAATTCTTACAGAACCTGCAAGCACCCTCCCGCTGACCCAGCCGGAGAGCGCAGTCCTGCAGGGAGGGGAGGGGTGAGCATGGCCAGGCACAGACCACACACCGTGGACAGCCTTGAGTGCCAGACCAAGGATGTGGGACTTTCTAGCAGGTGATGGAAAACACCAGAGAGGTTAGGCGTATGAGAATGAGGGGACCCCTGGGTGGCTCAGTCGGCTAAGCATCTGCCTTCCCACTCAGGTCATGATCCTGGTGTCCTGGGATTGAGCCCTGTGTGAGGCTCCCTGCTCAGTGGGGAGTCTGCTTCTCCCTCACCCTCTGCAACCTCCCCATCCCCATCCCCTGCTCATTCTCTCTCTCTCTAATAAATAAATAAAATCCTTAAAAAAAAAAAAGTATGAGAATGATTCATTAGGGTAGTCATATTCGGGATAGAATGGAAAGAACTGCTGGGAAGCTATTATGATATTAGACAAGAGGTAACGAATCGTTGAAGGAAAGACTGGCAATCAGGATGAAGAGATAAAAGGTGCCAGGCGGTTCTAGGGAAGCCGAGTGGGATTCCCTAGATCTCCCCTAGTGGGGAGAAGGCACAGAAAGTCTGGAGAGGACAGTGACATCATTAAGAGAAATAGGGATCCCGAGAGAACGACAGTGAGTTCTGCTTGGGCCATATTCCAGTTGAGGTGCTGGGAAGATATACGAAATAAGTTATGCAGGAAGATAGAAAAGAGTCGGACAAAAGCTGAAAGTGTGGGGCTGATATTGTAGAGAAGAGTCAGGTGTGGACCCGGAGACCTAGGTGACAGCCACAGAGAAGAGCTATCAGCCAGAGACAATGGAACAGAACAGAGAGACACCCTCGGGGAGCACACAGCTCCGTCTGATGGAAAGGAAGCACGGAGACAGAAGCAGAAGGAAAGCTATCAACATCTCCCAGCATGCATCCCTGGCAAAAAAAAAAAAAGGCCTGAACAGGATAAGCGTATGGAGAGGGAACCTTGGGTTTTGGTGGCCAGGAGATCCTTAGTATTTTTAAGAGTGTTTTCAGTGAGCATCAGGGAGGTGACACAGCAGGCAGGGATGCTAGAATGGGAGCACCGGAGCCCCTTTTGAGGTAGTGCAAGACGAAGGGGCAGGACAGTAGCTGAGAGGGCAAGGAATCAAACACTTTGTTTTGAGAACAGAGAAATTTGAGCAAAGAGAAGCAGGGGAGGCAGGAGTGCTCCAAGCTGCGGGGTCTGCTCTTTGCTGTCCAACGCCGTGACCGCCAGCGACAGGTGCAGGCGAAGGGAGCGTGTGGAGCTTAAGAGAGGGGGAAAGCCGACAGACTTCGCCAGTGGGCCAGCAGTTAGGGTAGAACCTTCTAATTTCAGACCCCAGGTACGGAATGTATTCTTTCTTAAAATCCAAAAGCTAAACACAGGGTTTGCTGGTGAATCTTGGCAAATGCTCCTCTCTATCCTTAGCGTTAAAGCCCAGGGACAGAGATAAGGCCACAGTGACAGACCACAGGGAGATGTGAATGTGTGTGGATGGGAAGGATTCACTGCTTGGAGCTATGGAGGCAGAAATGACAGAACTGGGGAGGGGTAAGAGAAAAAGCACAGATTCTTGCAGTTTTATGAATTTGGAGACAGCTTTCCTTAACAATGGTGCTCAGGACTACCACCCTCAAGGAGTGGAGCTGGGACAAAAAATATTTCTTGACACCAGTACGGAAACAGTGACCACCAATTTATTAACCTTCCTTCCTGCCATATTCTTTACCTTACTTCCATATAAAAATGCGGGAAGCAGCTTAGCAGAGGAGGAAGAACAGAGGCTTTGGCCTCAGTGAACTTCGGGTCCAATCCTTGCTCTGTCACCACCAGCTGTGACACTAGAGCGAGTCATTGAACCTCTGGAAGCCTGCGTCTTCACCAGCTAATGAGGAAAAATGGAGCTGTAGCGGAAGTCAAGTGAAGGGCTCAAGGAGCACTGGTGTCATCTCCCTCCCTCCCTCCCGACTCCAGACTCCTTCCGGTGCTGTGTGCCATCTGCCCAGGGAGCTCTCCCTGGCTCTCAAAGAACTGCCATTTTGAACAGCTTGGGAGGAAAAATGCAAGTATTCTCCTTGGCCCTGCCCCAAGACCTGCCACACCACCATTTTTCAACAAAACCAACATGCAATTTTATTCATGAATTTATGTTCCAAGTAATGTTCACTTAATTGGCATTGAGCTCCCTTAAAACTAGATTATACTACTCAATTTCCAACTCTATCCAAGTGAGCCTAGGTCCTAGGATAGAGGCTGAACACCAAAGCAGAATGGGGAAACAGTTCCTATCTTCCACGCTTAGCCACTCAAGCCATTTTGGCAGCAGCATCTCTGATTTATCCGTGGACGTGT